ATTTGAATCAATTCATACCCCAGGCAGGATGGGACTTCAACCTTGCTGGACTGATAACAAACCAAATACATTTCATGACTATGATACACAGAGACATCAATTTAGCTATATCTTTCCAAGAGTCTAGATATATAAATAGCTCTTCGTATAACTTGCCAATATGTTTCAAGCTGATGCTAATTTATTTTATAATTTGAGTTATAACAAGTTTCCATTTTGTGTAAATATTTATTTCTTAGGCCAACATAAAGGATGCATAAAATTTGAGAGGTCATAACAAAATGTAGATGCTCTGAGTGCAATACTATTGAATGCAGCAAGATGACCAACTTGTATTTAATAAAAACAAGAACGGCTCGAGATTAGGATGGCAACAGAAGGGCTCATTTGCTTTTGTACCAGAAACAAAATTTAACATCACTTATCACAAGAATTATTAAATATTACAGTGTAATATAAAGTAGGACATGAATCATTAACATGTATTATAATTATGTAGAGAAAAATTTACTAATTTCAAATCCTATACTCAAAAATTTATTAATGCATTCATAAAGTAAAACTATTAGGAAAGAAGTTAAGATTTGTCTTATATTTTAAGATTGTTATGCAAAATGGAAATCAAATGTGTGCAATCTTGTGCATTTTACTAAATTGGAGTAATATATTTAAATAAATGCCAAGGTAGCAATATCATGTAGTTTAGCTAAACTCTCAAAAATACTCCTATATCATCTCATGTTAATGATTATAATGCTCCAGTAGATACAACATATAATGAAGAAAAAAAGTGCTAATGGTGATTCAAGTGCATTGCTAAATAGCATTTTTTTACTACAACCTTGAATAAGGTGGGATACAGCAGAATAACACTTCATTCATTACACTTCAGTGTGAAGAGATTTAAATTTATTCAGCTTTATTAGTTCACAAATAGTCTAAGTGAAGCATGACAATTCACAAATAACCAGCATTCAGGTTCTTCTGGTATAATAACCTGAGCATGGTGTTTTCTATTATTTTCAAGACTGAGGGCTCATTGCTTAGTAAACAAAAATGTACAATAATCTTACGCACTTAAAATTACTTATCTACAGTTTCTCAGTTATCTCTAAAGACCCCTTTAATTCATTCACATCGCATCAAATTTGTAACTCCAACCATGGATACTACAAAAACACATCAGAACTTTAATGAATTGCCACCTTATTCTTCTTAGAGAGCAATTGGTAAAACTAGTTAAAATTAAGAATGCTCTTATATTAATGCAAAAACTGATGACCTGAATATCTGTCATGGTGACTTCCATCAACGTTCTAAGTTGAGCACGAACACCATCTTCACTTCGATTTTCTTCATACATCATACATTACAGTGCCCTCAGTCATCAAGGGAAAAGCAGATGGGAGTGAATCCCACCTAATATACAAGGGCATTCAGCTTCTAAGTCATCATCAACCAATCCCAAGATACACACACACAGTGAGTAAAAACATAGGATCAAGTGATTTGATAGTGGAAGCACCTATTTCCTTTTCAATAAATCTCACATACTGACAATATATACATAAAATAATTATACCTGTCCAGACATCAAATCCCTTGATACTTTGAAGCATATTAACAAGTAGAGTTTCTAAGTTAAAATTTTGCTTATTCTCTACAAGTATTCTGGTTTAATGATCTCTGAAGTGTTCTTGGCTTACTACTTTCTAATGTCAATTCTGTAATACTTCGGATGTGATTTTTGATTAAACACTTCACTTTTTTTTTATATCTTTAATCACTTTGCAGACTGAATTCTGTTAGATTATCTGAAGTGTATAGTTTGGACGAAGGCCTTTCATCATGGATTCAGAATGTACAATTTCTCCCTAGTAGGCATTCTGATATGTAGTGAGGCTGTAGGTCCAGATAAATTTTCTCACATTCTTGTCTTAAGGTTTCTCTCCATTATGAATTCTCATGGTCAGTATACTTAAACGCCGACTTAATTATTTGCCACATAGTTTACATTTGTAAGGCTTTGCTCCAGTATGATTTATTAAGACATGAACACTAAAAAAAAATAAACCCTTTACAAAAATCTCTACATTTATGACTTCTCTGTAGGATGTTTTCTCTCACACTGAGTAAGATGTGAAAGTCAATTAAAGGCTTTGCCACATTTTTTACTTTCTGGACTTCTGTCCAATATGAATTATCTCATATTATTAAGTGAAAGAAGCCAATCTGAAAAGGCTACATACTGTATGACTCCAATTATATGACTTTCTCGAATAGGCAAAATAATAGAGATAGTAAAAAGGTCACTGGTTGCTAAGTTTTAGAAGAGGAAAGAATAAGCAGAGCACAAAGAATACACAGGGCTGTGAAACTAAACTATATACTATAATGGTGAATACATGTCGCTATAACTTTATCCATAACCATGGAATAAACGACCCGACTCAAACCCTAAACTATAAAATTTGGGGGGCAATATGTCAATGTAGTTTCATCTATGTAAGAAATGTACCACTCTGGTGGGGGATGCGGAGAAAGGGGAGGCTATACATGTGGGGGCAGAAACTCTCTAACTTCTACTCAGTTTTCCTCTGAACCTCAAACTGCTCTTAAAGACAAAGTCATCCTTAGACTTCTACTTCTCCTATATATTTGTTCTCAAGTACATGTATCTTTCCAGTGGTTTATGCTCATGCAAAACATGTTTGTATCTGCTTCTTAAAAAGACAAACACAATGAGATAGCACTTCATGCCAAATATGAAGACCACTATCAACAAATAAATCAAGTGTTGAAACAAAGTTGGGAAATTAAACCCTTATGTACAGTCGGATGAACTGTAAGTTGAGGCAAATCACATGAAAAACAGTATGGTATTTCTCAAAAATTAAAAGTAGAATTATCCTAAGATGCAGCCATTTGACTTCTGGGTAAGATATTCTGATTGCAGCCTCATAAATGCCATGGGGCAGAGTCTGGAGAGAATAACCCAGGGGCACATTGTGAGTACATATGTGCTAACTCATATGCTCTTTGATCTCATCATGAAATAAAATTGTTATAGGTACCTTTGACCTTCAGAGGCCAATGACACATTGCTTGTTTATGTCATGAAGTACCTGATGGAAATGGGATGAAACTGTGCTGGTGCGAGAAACATGATTCATTAAGGTTATGAAAAATAATTAAATTTTATTCATTAAAACATGAGCCCTGATGTAGTCCCAATGAACCTGGCAAAGGTAATGCCAGCAATTCCATGAGAACCATTCAAAAGCACATACTATTCTGGTTCTTTTGATCTAGCTTCCCTCTCAGGTAACTGCTCTCTCAACAATTTCCAAGAATAAGACAAATTTCCCATGAATCTCTGATACACGTTTATTGCCATTCTATGGAGAAAGTTTCCAGATCTTCTGCATTTCTACCACTAATCACCCTCTACTCACTTATCACTCTCCTCCCATGAAAAGCTCAGGACTTTCATGTCTGGACCTGCTCTGTTACCTAGTCAGTTGATGGAGCCTTCTTTCCTATGACTGGCAGCGGCCTGTACAGGGACTGGCAATCTGCACTTAGTTAAGTATGAAGATGTACTACATAGTTTTTCATCATTCTCTGCCTTCCCTGATGCTAATTCATACAATAATGAATTAGATAATCAGTATCCTTATTTTTCCAGGGGACATGGATATAAATGAACCACGCCCAATGAAGTACACCCTTTCATTATATGGACTGCTTTCCAGAGACCAGCATGAAAGGCCTGGAAGAAAGGCAAAAGTTCAACAGACCTTGGACTTCAGGATAAAACTCACAGTAATGTACTCAAAGAAACGAAACTAAATATTATAAACACTAAAGATAATGTGCTGTCTATACACGTCATTGTTCCTGTGATATATAACATATCCAGAGTTTTAACATATGTTTAATTTGTAATGTTTCTGCAATATGTAATGTCTTAGGTTAATTTCAGAGAACTGGAGACTATTACTTCTAGTATGGATTATTCACTGTGGAACTGGTTGTGAGAACTGGTTAAAAAATGTACTACATTCATGACATTTGCATTAATTCTTGGGTGAATCTTGAGAACACAGTTGCTTAGTATTTCCATGTTCAGTATAGTTTCTGTCTTCAGTTAATTCTGTCGTTACCCAAAACATATAGCTGTTTGATGAAAAGCCTTATGACATTCACTACATTTATAAGGTTACTCTCCAATATGTTATCTTCTGTCCCAGTTTTATCTTTTGTTCAAAGCATTAACACGCACATTACTTTTGTGTGGTTTCTCAAAATCTGCTGTCTAGAGAACTGAAAGGCCTGGATACAGCCTCTGACACATATTTATATAATTTCTCTTCACTGTGAAGTCTCTGTTCTTACATAATACCTGAACTCTAATGGCTTTGCCACACTCGTTGCAATTGTAAGGAATCGCTCCAATGTTTTCCAACTGTTGATCTTTGGATAAACATTTTGCCACACATTAATTTTTGTGCTCTCTCTCCAAGATGCATATTCTTATAGCTAGCAAAGAAGAGCTCTAATTTAAAAATTTGCCCTATTCATGGCATGTACAATGATGAACACTTTGGTAAATCCTAAGTTTAACCCGATACCTAAAAACACTGCAACACTCACTACATTTCTAAAGAAACTCACCAGTATGAAGTATCTGCTGGCAAGCTTGAACTTACACTGCAGGCTTTGCCACACTCAATACATTTTAATGTTTCCATGTAGTGTGCATTCTCTGATGAATCACAAGGTGAGATTTGTTATTAAACACCTTGCCACAATCATTACATCTGAAAGGTGTATGGATTCTCTGATGTATATTTAGGCAAATGCACACTAATGTCTTTGTCACACTCATTACATTTGTATGGTTTCTCTCTACTATGAATTATCGGATGACTAGGTAGGCTTGCATGTACACTAAAGGGTTAGTGTACATGCAAGCCTACCTACATTGGTAAGGTACACTACATTGGTAAGGTTTCTCTCCAGTATGGATTCTCTGATGTTACCTCACTACATTGGTAAGGTTTCTCTCCAGTATGGATTCTCTGATGTTTAGTTAGGCTTGCACGGACAATATAGGCTTTGCCACACTCATTACATTTGTATGGTTTCTCTCCATGAGTTATCTGATGGTAAGCTAGGCTTGCACGCAAACTATAGGCTTTGCCACACTCACTACATTTGTAAGGTTTCTCCCCAGTATGGATTCTCTGATGTGTACTTAGGCTTGAATGGGCACTAAATTCTTTACCACATTCATTACATTTGTAAGGTTTCCCCACAGTATGAATTAACTGATGACTAGTTAGGCTTGCACGAACACTATAGGCTTTGCCACACTCATTGCATTTGTACGGTTTCTCTCTATGAGTTAACCGATGGTAAGCTAGGCTTGCACGCAAACTATAGGCTTTGCCACACTCGCTACATTTGTAAGGTTTCTCCCCAGTATGGATTCTTTGATGTTTACTTAGGCTCGAGTGGGCACTAAAGTCTTTGCCACACTCATTACATTTGTATGGTTTCTCTTGACTATGAATTACCTGATGACTTGTCAGGCTTCCATAAACACTAAAAGATTTGCCACACTCATTACATTTATAAGGTTTCACTCCAGTATGGATTCTCTGATGTCTAGTTAGGCTTGAATGAGAACTAAAGTCTTTGCCACACTCATTACATTTGTAAGGTTTCTCACCAGTATGGATTCTCCGATGTGTAGTTATGCTTGAATACGAACTAAAGTCTTTGCCACATTCATTACATTTGTATGGTTTCTTTCCAGTATGCAATCTCTGATGTCCAGTTAGCCTTGCATGAAAAATAAAAGCTTTGCCACACTCATTACATTTGTAAGGTTTCTCTCTAGTATGGATTCTCTGATGTTTACTTAGGCTTGAATGCACACTAAATCCTTTGCCACACTCATTACATTTGTAAGGTTTCTCTCCAGAATGGATTCTCTGATGAGACGTTAGGCTTGAACGTAGCATAAAGGATTTGCCACACTCATTACATTTGTAAGGTTTCTCTCCAGTATGAATTATCTGATGACAATTTAGGCTTGCACGCACACTAAAGTCTTTGCCGCACTCATTACATTTGTAAGGTTTCTCTCCAGTATGCAATCTCTGATGTACTCTTAGGTTTGAATGCACTATAAAGGCTTTCCCACACTCATTACATTTGTAGGGTTTCTTTCCAGTATGAACCAACTGATGGCAACTGAGGCTTGAACGCACCCTAAAGGCTTTGCCACACTCATTACATTTGTAAGGTTTCTCTCCAGTATGGATTCTCTGATGTATAGTTAGTCTTTTTCGTAAACTGAAGGCTTTGCCACACTCACCGCATTTGTAAGGTTTCATTCCAGTATGTACTGACTGATGGTAACTGAGGATTGAAGGCATCATAAAGGCTTTGCCACACTCATTACATTTGTAAGGTTTCTCTCCAGTATGGATTCTCTGATGTATAGTTAGTCTTTTTCGCAAACTGAAGGCTTTGCCACACTCACTGCATTTATAAGGTTTCATTCCAGTATGTACTGACTGATGGCAACTGAGGCTTGAACGCACCCTAAAGGCTTTCCCACACTCATTACATTTGTAAGGCTTCTTTCCACTATGTAATGACTGATGGTCACTGAAGCTTGAAAGCAACCTAAAGGCTTTGCCACATTCAGTACATTTGTAAGGCTTCTCTCCAGTATGGATTCTCTGATGTATAGTTAGGCTTGAATGTGCACTATAATATTTGCCACACTCATTACATTTGTAATGTTTCTCTCCACTATGAATTACATAATGACTAGTTAGCCTTGCACGTACCCTATAGGCTTTGCCACAGTCAGTACATTTGTAAGGTTTCTCTCCAGTATGAATTCTCTGATGTACAGTTAGGCTTGAACGTGCTCTAAAGTCTTTACCACACTCATTACATTTGTAAGGTTTCTCTCCAGTATGAATTCTCTGATGTACAGTTAGGCTTGAATGTGTACTAAAGTCTTTCCCACACTCACTACATTTGTAAGAATTTTTCCTGCATGCTTTCAGGTCTTTTGTCAGTATTGAGGGATGCCTAGAATCATTCCTATAAACAGTACAAATGGTGGATTGGATACTAGGAAAAACTCTTTGAAGTGGACAGATGGAGGAATTATTGTTTAAAGGCTTCTCGACTGGATTACATTCATCAATGTTCCCTTCAGTCTGAAGTATCTCACTATCAGCCCGATGTAACTGAAACCTCAGTCCAGGCCTGTTTTCAATAGGCTCATTTCCAGCATGCTCGCTACCATGTTCTCCTCTTCTCTCAGTGAGATATTTTTTAGGAGTTACAGGTGTTACTTTGGGATTACTTTCATTATTTCTCTGCTGACAAGCAAAATCATGGATATCTTCCTGGATTTCCCGGAAGTAAAAATCTTTGATTACATGTCTTTCATTTTCACGTCTTCCAAACACCACTGTTTGGAATGCTCCTACTGTATTACTAGGTTTTGTTGATTTTAATTTCTTGATTACATATGGAGAGATATCTACAAGAAATTAAAAGTACATATTTACTCAATTAATTCATTTCTAAATGTTTCATGTTGAAATCTAATATTACACTAAAAGTAAAGTTATACTGAACATAGTTATGAAACTTCCCAAACATTACCCTCAAACTTCTAAAATAATAAAGAAACAGGATTCTTTACAAAAAAATAGTTGTCACGTGCAAATCATAAGAGTAGCCTAGTTTCAATAAGTCTATGATAAAAACACTCATATCATGCAAACTTATGTCAGCTTTCAAGTGTAGGGTATTTCTCCAACAAGATTCCAAAATACATATCATTTGTTAGCAACCATATTGCGATCTCATAACTACAGGAAAACATACATTATGTGTATGTTGAACATACATATTGAACATAAGTACTAAAGATAATATAATGTAATGGTAAAAAAAATCTAAAACAACATTATCTAAAGAATAATCTAAATAAAGAGAAGTCTAGTGATATCGGAACCTGGCGGAGTCAGAGACATCCCCAGATCTCTCCCTTGAAACAATAAGCTGAACATCTAAACCTCAACAAAAAACACTCAAAGTATACACCAGCACATATGAGCGTGGGACCTGTGCATAAGAGCTAGCACAGATCAGAACCCCAGGTGTCAGGTGGTGGACTGGGAAAAACAAAGAAGCTGCCTCTTGCAGCCAGAGCTCCCTGCAGGAGTAAGGGGGAGGGGGAGTAATGTGGCGAAATCCCTGAACAGCCCTGCCTCAGAGTACTGTGAGCTCCACGCTGCCGGCAGCAGGGACCAGTCATCACGGCAGAAAGCAGAGAAGCGAGCACAGCAGAGAAATCACACTTGATTTTTACCAGCTGCGATTGCAAAATCGAGGCTGAGCTGCAGCTCCCAACCCCCAACCCACAGCATCCTTCCCCCAATACCCTCTAAGACCAAACACTGCAGAGCCCCAGGGATATCTGAGCAAACGTTCCGAAACTGTCACTAAAATGGACAGGGACTGAGACTGAGAGTAGTGAGTATGATTAAAAATCTATAAGAAAAAATAGGCATTATTAAGGCTTTATATAAAGCAGGGATCCGAGAGGCTTAGATGCCATCTACTGGAAACCAAAAGAAAAACACCTTCTTTGCAACAGGCTAAAGAGAGACCTTTATATAATAAATCTTATTTCAGGGGGAGGAAAAAAAAAAAAAGCAGAATACACTTCCATTAATGCCCAGGCGGAGAAATAGTCCATTAAACACCATGAACAACCAAGGTGACAAGACATCTCAGAAAGAAAGAGAAAAATCTCCAAAACATAAGCTTACGGACATAGAAATATGAGACTTAAATAACAGAAAATTCAGGATAGTATTTCTGAAAAAAATTCAGTGAGTTCCAAAATGAGTTATACCAACAACATACATAAATCGATTAATGTGATACACCACATAAACAAATTAAATAATAAGAATCATATGATCATATCAATAGATGTGGAAAAAACCTTTGACAAGATACAGCATCGATTTATGATCAAAATGCTTCAAAAATATCAGTATAAAAGGAAAGTACCTTAACATAATAAAGGCCGTCTATGACAAACCAACATTATACTTAATGGTGAAAAACTAAAAACTTTCCTCCTAAGATCAGGAACAAAGCAAGGCTGTCCACTATCGCCACTGTTATTTAATATAAGATTAGAGGTCCTAGAGAGTGCAATCAGGCAGGAAAAAGACATAAATGGCATCCAAAGAGGAAATGAAGAAGTCAAACTGTTACTATTTGCGGATGACATGATTCTCTATTTAGAAAACCCTAAAGACTCCACAAGAACACTACTAGAAACAATAAACAAATACAGTAACATTTCTGGATACGAAATCAATGTTCAAAAACCCATAATGTTCTTATATTCTAATAATGAAGTATCAGAAAAAGTAGAAAAAATAATTCCTTTTGCAATTGCAACAAAAAGACTAAAATACCTAGAAATAAATCTAACAAAACATGTGAAAGACCTATATGATGAAAACTATAAGACCCTATTAAACGAAATCTAAGAAGATACAAAGAAATGGATAGATATTCCCTGTTCTTGGATTAGAATAATCAACATAGTTAAAATGACCTTATTACCTAAAGCATTGTACAGATTTAATGCAATCCCCATCAAAATCCCATCCGCATTTTTTAAATAGAACAAAAAATCATCAGATTTGTATGGAAGCACAAAGACCACGAAATGTCAAAGCCATCCTGAGGAAAAAAAATGAAGCTGGAGGCATCACTCTGCCCAACTTCAAATTATATTACAAAGCGACAATAATTAAAACAGCATGGTATTGGCAGCAAAACAGACACACTGACCAGTGGAACAGAATCGAGAGTCCAGAAGTAAAGCCATTGTTTATATGGACAAATAATTGTTGACAAAAAAGCCAAAAACTTACAGTGGAGAAAGGAAAGCCTCTTCAGTAAATGGTGCTCGGAAAACTGGAAAGCGAATGAAACTAGACTGTTGTCTATCACCACACACCATAATTAACTCAAAATGGATTAACGACATGAATATAAGACCTGAAACAATAAAATGCATAGAGGAAAATATAGCAACTAAACTCAAGGACCTTGGACTTAAAGAAGATTTTATGAATTTGACCTCAAAGGTAAGGGAAGTAAAAGCAAAAATAAATGAATGGGACTACATCGAACTAAAAAGTTTCTGCACAGCAAAAGAAACCGTCAACAAGATAAAGAGACAACCATCCGAATGGGAAAATATATTTGCAAGGAACGCCTCCGATAAGGGCCTAATATCTAAAATATACAAAGAACTCATACAACTCAATAACAATAACAACAACAACAACAACAACAACAACAACAAAATGATCCAATCAAAATATGAGCAGAGGACCTGAACAGATACTTCTCCCTAGAGGACACACAAATGGCCTATAAACATATGAAAAGATGTTCAATATCGCTAGCTATTAGGGAAATGCAAATCAAAACCACAATAAGATACCATCTCACACCTGTTAGAATAGCTGTTAGCAACAGGACAAGTAATAACAAATGTTGGAGAGGATGCGAAGTAAAAGGACCCCTCATACACTACTGGTGGGAATGCAAATTGGTACAGCCACAATGGAAAATACAGAAGTTCCTCAAAAAACTAAGAATTGATCTATCACATGATCCAGCAATCCCTCTACTAGGTATTTACCCTAAAAACTTGAAAATCCATATCCAAAAAGATATTTGCACACAGGTGATTCACGGTATCCAGGACGTGGAAGCAATTAGATGAAATACTGTCATTTGCGAGAACATGGATGGACCTTGAGATAATCATGCTATGTGAAATAAGCCAAACAGAAAAAGCTGAAAACCATATGACATCACTTATATGTTGGATATAAACCTAAAAGCAACAAATGAACAGGACAAACAAACAGAGACTCATGGGCATGGACAATAGACTAGTGCGGGGAGCGGGGGGTAGCTGGGGTAAAAGGAGACAAATATGTGGTGACAGAAAGAATCTAACTATGGGAGGTGAACACACAGTGTAAACATATATATATGCCTTACTGTTAAAATGTACACCTGAATCTTATTGGATTTTGTTAACCAATGTCACCATAAAAAAATAAATAAGTAAACTAATAAAAAATAATAACAAATAAAAAACATATACATCATAAAAATACATAGTAGTCTAAAATTATACAATAAATATACCATTAAGAAAATTAAAGCATCAAGACATGTTTAGAAAACAAAACTAAGTATCGTCATAAAACTATACCCACGATAACTGGCATTTGAGAACATCAACAAGTGATGCATGGTAGTTACATTGCATAATAAATGTGAAAGACCATCATCTGTCTGTCACAATGAAAGTTAATTAAAAAAAAAGGATTCTAAGAACCAATGAAAAAAGAGACAGTGAATAATAATTACCCAAATTACAGAAAGTGAGCTCTCTCGAACTCTAAACATTCCCGTTATAAAGAAAGGATTTCTGTTCTAGAAAGAGCCCACAGATGAGAACTAGAAATTACATGGGCATCACTGACTTCTAAATAACACGTCAGAAAAAGACACAACATTATAAAGAATATTAGAAGGAGCCAAAACTCACTATCGGGATTTTATGACTGTTCTATAACAGTCGATCCATAAAGTGATTCCCTATGTATACAGGGCCGTTTACTCATCCAGTACACAGGCCAACAATATATGTAATACAGATTCTGTGCCTTGAAAATTGATTAAGGTGCAGGAAGACGTTACAAAAGAAAAACATAGAAAATGATGTAAGCAAAAGAATATCTCATAAGATGCTAGAAAGGTGACATATCTTATTAAACAGAAGTAACTTTTGAGTCTACAGTACAAAACATGCAATATCCTAAGCCATCTAACAACACTAATGTGTTTTAAAAAGCCTTTGGGAAAGTATTAATATACTTTCAAATAACGGCACTAGACTTACAGGATTTATGGACATAGCCCTCATACATATACAAAGTGACTGAAACAAAATTGGAACCGGGACCTACAAACTTAGATGACATGTTCTGAAGCGTGACTGCACACCCAGACAGTACAGACCACAAAGGCTTATAACAAATACCAGGAGTTTAGGAAGAAATATTTCCAAGGACATATGAAACTAAGCTGTGTCACTATGGTAGTATTGCACAGCCACTGGTCCTGAAAATGGCTTTTGAGTAATCACCCCAAGGATGACTCTTAAAGTAAAAACTCTGAACACATCTAGAACTTGGAAGGACATAGATTAAATAACAAATAAAAAACTACTCAAGAAAGAAATAACAAATGTTATTACAAAATTCTATCTAGCAGTTAAAAAAGAAACTAACAGCAATCTTCTTCAATGCCTCCCAAAAAACCAAGGAGGAGGGAACCTTCTGAAACTCATCCTGGAAGGCCAGAGTTGCCCTAATAGTAAAGTTGAGTCAAAGATAATACAAGAATAGCACAGACCAGTATCACCGATGAATAATAATAATAATAAAATTATTAATAAAAGCACAAACCAAGTAAAGTAATACACTCAAAGGACTGTCTACCATAACTAAGGGGAGTATGTCCTTGGAATGCAAGGTACTTTCCACATATAAAAATCATTCAATGTAATATTGCACAGTAAAAGAATAAATGAAAAAAGACACAGAACCACTTCAACTGATGCAGCAAAAAAAGCATTTGAGATAAGTTAGCCTGTCATAATAAATAAAAAACCTCAATGAACTTAAAAATAAACATCAAGTCCATTAACATAAAAGAGGACCTATATGACAAGCTCATAGCTAATACCATACTGGTGAAAGACTAAAAAAAGCCCTTACTCTAACATCAGGAACAAGACAAAGATGCCTACTCCCAATATTTCTACAACAAATGGTGCTGGAAGTTCTCACCAGAACAAGTAGGCAAGAAAAATACATAAAAGTTGAAGATATGAAATCAAAATGCAAATATCAATTTTATACATTATCAAAGAACAATCCTCTGAACAATTCCGTTACAATATCAATTAATAATATGACAAAAAAATGAAATTAAATAGAAATAAAATAATAACAATATAAGGTAAAATAAAATCCTTAGGCAAGAAGGAGAAGATCTGTGTATTCTCAATGAAAAATAATACTGGAAAAATGTACACAAGACATAATAAATGCAAAGATATTCCATGTTTATGGACTGGAAGACAATATTGTCAAGGTATCAATACTAGCCAAAGCCCATCAACAGATTCAAAGTAATAACTAGGAAATTTACAACAGCATTTTTTGAAGAAATACAGAAGTCCATCCTAAGTTTCAAATGGAATCTCAGAACTCTCTAATTGAAACAACAAACTTAAAAATAAAAATCAAGGACGTACAGCTCCATATTTCAAAACTTGTACTGCAATAAAGACAAAGAACAGTAGAATGGAATAGAAGAGTCAAAAATAAACTGAGGTAGATTATATTCCACAGGGTTGTCAACACCACTCAATGGAAAAAAAAAAAAAAACCAGGCTATTCAACCAAAGGTGTTGAGAAAACACGATATAAATATAAAAAGAATAAACTTGTAATAATTCCTTACACTGCATGGAAAAACTCAACATAAGACTGAAAGCTATAAAACTCCTAGAAGAAAACATAGGATAACTTACATTGGATCCGACAATGGTTTATTATGAGATGAGATGACACCAAAAGTATAGGCAACCAGAGTAAATACAGATAAATTGAACTATGTTAAAATTATAAACTACTGTGCAGCAAAGGACACACTCAACTGAGTGAAAAGCCAAACCCTAGAATAGGAGAAAATAACATTTTACTGACTACACATCACTGATTTGAGAAAGGATAAAGGCAAAGACAGCCAGATGAAGACATGCATTGGGAAGCCTATGGCAGAAGGGCCAGAAGCTCCCATGCCCCTCCCAGCATTCCACTCTCCCCAGTCACCACAGGTTCACTAATCTGGAACACTCTCATTTTGGGTTTTAGGGAGGTCTCATTAAATAGGGCATTGGTGATTAAACTCAATCTCGCCTTTCTCCCTTCCCAAAAGGTCAGGGTCCAAACCTCTAATTACTGGTTGGCTCTCCTGACAACTAGCCTTCCCGTCGCTGGGTATTTCCAAAAGTCACTTCGCTCACATACACAGTTGTGACTGAAAGGGGCTGGTTATAAATAAGACCACAATTTCACCTTTAAAATCCTGAAGAGACTGCAGGAACCGAGGACAAGAGGCCACGTGTTTTAACAGGAGATTCCCCATTGCTCCTATCACTGAGGGAATTCCAAGCCTTTGGAGCCGGAGTCAGAAATGGGGACAAAGACCACGTATATATTTATGATCATAAATCACAGTATCAATAACTTCTACACTCAATATCAACAACCCCACACATCTCAATTAAAAGTGGGCAAAGAACGTGAGTAATTTCTCTAGAGATGACGTACATGTGAAGAGACGTTGAGTATATCTAATAATCAGGAAACGTACATCTCAACCACTATATCATCACATATCCATTATGATGACTACTATCAAAAAATTGAAATACAAATCAGAGAGGATAAAAAAAATCGGAATTCTTATGCACCACTGTTCTAAAGGTAAAATACTGTAGCTGCTAATAAACCCAGTATGGTGGGGCTCTGAAAAGCAAACATTGAATTACCATCCCCTATAGACTAAACGTGGTGACTCTTAAAGTTCCAATGCTGAAATTCCCCAAATGACAATGGTGAGCCTATGGGAGGCAACTGGGTCAGGAGGGCAGATCTCTCCTGAGGAGCAGTAGTGCCCATGTGCACTCTACATGGCTTCGGATGGAAAAACATGAAAAAAAAATTGTCTTCATGTGTATGTTTAAAACTGCAATTTCCAGAACTTTAGAAACTTTGCAGGTGTTATAAAGAACTGTGGGAAAGAAGTTTCTAAAATGAAAGAAATCAGGTAACTTTCACAATACGACAATGAAATACAACAATGAAATATTTAAAAATTAATACAGTAGAACAAAGTGGACATGATGGTTCCACATAGGGCGAGTAAAATTAGAAAAGAAAAGTTATACCAAAACATTAAAATGCAATGAAACTTACAAATCAACAAATTATAGAAAGAAAATTGAAAACATTCTATAGAAAAACTAATGATTCTTATACAACTAAAACAAATTTAATGCTATGCCTGGGATTAAGTATGTGACATAAAAATTATACACATAGTCTCAAGGTATTGCAAATTCTCAAATTAAAACTTGTACTGAATTCAATCAAAAAAAAGAGTAACTTAATATGAGGTACTAAGGCAGGCAAAAAGTAGTAAAAATATCTTTTTAAAATATTCTGAAACAAGTTGAGGATTTACAGAAAAAGGCTGATGAGCTATACTCACCACACTAAAGAAGGAAATACCATCATATGTATCAAATAATGTCCATTCCCCAATTCTTCCCTCACACACAGTAAATATAAAACACTAGAGAATACAAAACTGATGACTAAATAAAACTCAAGTTCATTTATAAAGCATGAAAATGTGCAAGAAGAAAGGAGAGTTGAGTTAAACAAAAACAAATGACAGTGACTTTATTGAGGCACCATTCAACTTCCTAAGCTCCCTCAATAAGAACCTTCAAAATTGTACTTGCTGAGGCAGCATGCAAAACTGCCCACACAGAGAATGAGAATCATGGCGTGGACAAAAGTTTAGTCAGTAGCCTCAAGGATAGGAGGCTGTGAACTTGAACAATGTTCTCCCTGTTTAGTACATGTGTGTACATGATCCACGTTATCAGAGTTCTGGACAGACATTTACTGACACTCCTCCAACAAGAAAGAAAAGTGAAAACACTTATCAGTCCAGGTGTCGGGACACTTTCTATGTCGGTGTCCTGAGACATGCTGAACGCTCTACCAGGCAGCTCCAAGTGCTGCTTCCGTCTGTAGCAGGATAATATGAAACATGAGTCAAAGTATCTCCGTCAAGAATTTTCTATGACCAAGGACACTCACTCCACAGGAGAACCCACCAGTTGTCCATCCCCTAAAAGTCAATGACACCAGCAAAAAAAAAAAAAAAAAAGACAGTGAAGTATCAAACCCCAGCAATGTGTATGTAGTTCAAGGGCAAAGTTCAGAGGCAAACCATGTGAACTACAGAGAATATGAAATCTGGAAGAGTCTATATTTTCAGACGAGGTCCCATGGTGCAGAGAGAGAGGTATAAGGAATGGGGTCAGACACTGCAGGATCATCAAGAGACCATGGATGCCACCAGACACTACGCTACAAACCTGGGAGTTTGAAATACACATCTTGTAGAGGACTGGAGAACGAATGGTCTCTCTCTGTCCACTGTCTCTAGAGATTTCCTAATAACAATTACAGAAGATCCTACCCACCTCCCTGAGACACAAACCTCTGAAGTGGCAAGAAAAAGAAGAGAAAAAATGTGTGAGGGTCTAGAACAGGTTGACAGAGCATCAGAGAGTACAGCCTAGAGCGCCAGATGGAATGAACAGAGAGATAGTACAACCTCTCTTCTGATCAGTCCTTCCAACCGCAGGAAACGGCAATGGGACAGTCCAAGGTGGGAGGACTGCAAAGCCTAGGCTCTGTTCTGTATGCGCTGAGAACCCAGCATTTGATGGAATCCAGTCTAGAAGGAGACACCAGGTGGACAGAGACCGGTGACACCACCAGCCCCAGGCTCCCGAACTCAAGGAGCCAAAGATGTCATGCTGGCCACAGAACAGTGTTAGGATAACCATAAAGATTCTGTCTTTGTGTCTGTTGGAACTGTAGTCCCATTGAGGGTGAAAAAATAAATTTTAACCTTGACGGATAGATGGGTAAGTTGGAAAGAAGAAAAATTACCTTTGAGGATTCCCCAGAAATAAACTTCTGCTTGCCCAAAGAACTTTCTCACTTGGGACGCATTTGCAAACACGATGAAGGCTGCAGCCTCCTCTCTCTCTTCCTAAGCTCTTACCTGTGTTCACACCTTCGATACATTCCCACCAATTTGGTTTTTGTGCTATTTTCAACTCGCTCTCCAGAGTCCAGGGCGCTTTCCCTTGCTCCAAAATGGAGACAATATACAGATCAGGAACAGAAATTCCTGCACATAAGAAGAAAGGAGCATGAAGACCTGTAGTTCTGCCAGAATCCCTGATCTCTGGTCAACTGAAGAATGAGGATAGTACAGATGGCTCGAGAAACATAGCGGCTCCTCACCTCCTTTTGTGCATATGGACCTATGTCATATGCAGAGAGCGAGCTCTTTTCCAAAAGCTACTAATATCAATACGTGGGAATGGAAAAAAATTTAGCTATTTTAAGGTTGCCAAAGGGCTTTATAAAAATTAAGCTCAAGAATGACCACTGATGTATCACAAAGTGGGCAGATCATCTAAAGAAAGGGCAAAGTTAAAGTCCTAATGCCACCTTATGAAGTTTTTTCATGTCCTAGTAAACAGAGCTTCAAGCTCAGGCATGCAAGGCAGAGGCTCCCAAGAAGCACCCAACAGAAAATGAAGAGACACGCAGGCAGATCCTTACTCTGGAGGGAAGTCATCCTCACCCAAGAATAGCAAGTTCTGGTAGCTCTCCAACATCACCTCCCTGTAAAAGGCCCGCTGAGCTGGGGCCAGGCATTCCCACTCCTCCTGAGAGAATTCTACGAACACATCGCTGAGTGTCAACCGTCCCTGAAAGAAAACACATTTCAACAGAGAGAAATGGTGACAGTTCTTACCTTCACACAGAATGACAGTAACATCAATTCAGGTGGAGTGTTCTTACAGATCCATGTCAGATATTTCTGAGTAAATTAAGTGTCCATAATGTTGGTTTCTATTATTTTCCCGTAAAAAGTTACTACAGTCTATAACCAGGGAGGGCCTCTCATTTGGCGGACAATACATGAAATTACAATTAAAATTCACCACTGAGCTGTCTATACAGAAGATTAGATGTTCTACATACTGAATATTTAGTGTCTAGATGAGCTAGAGGATGGATGACCAGTGTCGTCAGAGATGACGAAGTCCACATTATCTTTTAAAAAATTCAGACTCTTAAATTGTGATGACAAATACAAGCATGATGAAAAGTTTTAGAACACATCCTATGTGCATTAATCTAAATGCTTTACATGTTTTAACTTGTTATCAATATAACAGCTCACTGCAGAAAAACCTGTTCTCATCTTACGGAGGAGAAAATGTGTCACAGACATTCTAAAAAACTCAACTCAGCTCAAAATCTAAGATCTGATCAAGCAAACACCTGAACTCAGGTGCTGGGGTTTAGACCAAAACTAAAAAAAATAAAACAATTATCTAATAGAAAAGACCTCAGAAGTACACCAACAAAGCTTTCTGAGAAAACCTGAAACAGCTTCAAGGTTAACAACACTAAGATGCACATTAAGGTCATCACATTTGCATGTGTGCACATGCACATAACATGATATTATTTTTACATCTAGTTAAATCATTAACATTAAAGCGCAGAATAAAACTGAGATCGTGAAATATGCTAAAGATATCATAATCACTAAAAAATATAAAACTTAAGAAATGATATCTTTTATAAAAACATACTTTTATAAGAACCATCCATGCATGTATGTATACACATATAAACAAACCAATTAACTGAAGACTTGTCTCTTGACGTATTTTTGGATAACTTTATATATCGTCATTTTTATTCATGTGTATTTGAGCATTTCATCAATAAAAAAGTATCAGTCGTACTTATTTTCATTTTTGAAGAATGTATGGTAAAGGACACTAGTAAAAACATTATACAAAACTGAAAATGCAGACTACTTAACTACAATTTCTATAAAGTACTTATTGAACCCTATACATACAATTTTATCCATTTACATTTAGACATGTAGGCTTTAATAAAAGCCAAATAGTGTATTGTTTTATTCTACTCATAAAACAAGGATTCGAGATTTTAAGAATTATTAGTGTTATACATCAATTTAACAGATTAAGATTTCAAAAATTCTCATATTTCTGGGCACTTGAAAAAAATTCTTGGATAAACAGAAATCAGAACAAAAATGAAATTGGAGAAAAACCTGTTATTAACCAGGAACATTTTGCCAAATATTTGGGACAGGAGAATAACAATGGATGCATTTTCACTGAAATTACAGTAAAGAAAGGGGGCCAACCAGAGCTCCTGCCTCAACAGAGACCAAAAAAATAGAGAAACAGAGGAAAAAAAAGATTGATTGGGACAGAGAGTGAAAGAGCTTCAACTGTGAAAATTCACAAATCGAAGGATAGAGATTGGCTAATAATAAAAGAAGGAAACAAGACATTCCATTCAAACTATATCCTAGAGAGAGCAGAGGTGGCTATATTCCACCTCTGGATATAAGATAAAAGACTATAAGACAAAAACTGACCACAGGCAAAGGACATTATGACATAAAAGGGTCCTTTCACCAAAAGGTTCTAACAATTATAACTAGAGGTGCACACAACATTAGAGTTTCCAAATATATGAGGTAAATGTTAACAGAAATGCAGCAAGAAATAAGCACCAGCACAGTAATTGTATGAGCATCAGTATTTCAGTTTTAGTCATAGATACAACAACCAAACACAAGACACATAAGGAAACAGAACACTTGATAACCTCACAGAGTGATGGAGTGTAACAGACATATACAGAACACTCCACAAACACCAGCAGAAAACACATATTTCTCAAGCACACATGAAACATTCTATTTGACCAACCACAAGATTGCCACAAATATGAAAAACTATTTACAAATTGCAATCCTAAAAAATATCTTCTGTAACCGCAAGGAAATGACAATAGAAACAAAGAGATGAAAGATCCACAAAATGTGGAAAGTAAACAAGTCTTCTTAAACACCCAATAGTTCAAATAAAACAGAACTTTTTTAAAATCTGGATGAAATAACAATGAAAATACAACAGACTAAAGTTTATAAGATGCAGGGTGTGGCTCCATAGTGTAGTGGTTAGCACTTTTGCTTTACACGCAGAAGGTCCTGGGTTTGTGCCCCAGATAGAGCCACGGACCATACCTCGGGTGTGCCAGGCCCTGGCTGTGTCAGGCCCCAGGTGAGCCAGGCCCCAGGGGCGCACCCCGAGTGTGTGGGAGGAGACACCTCGCCTTCAGAGATCCAGTTCTTAAGGGAAGATGGCAACATCCATAGGTCAGGGGTGGAAGTAGAGGGGAGGGAATTAAAGAAGGGGAAAAAAAAAGTTTACAAGATGCAGTGATAGCAGCACTGAGAGGCCCAATGTGATAAGTATTAAAGTAAAAATAGAAACAAGCTCAAATCTGGGATGGACTTTTACCTCAAAAAAAAAGTAAATCTTATTTTAGTAGAAGGAAAGAAGTCAATAAGGTTAGAACAGAGGTAAATAAAAGAGACTAGAAAGTCAATATAAACATAATCAAACTAAGAAATGGTTTTTTTTTGAGTACAGTAACAAATTTACAAACCCCTACCTACACTAAGAAAAGTGAGAAGATTCAAATAAATTACATCAGAAAGGAAACAGGGACCACAAAACTGATGTCACAGAAAAATTTTTTATTGATTTTGAGAGGGTAATAAAAACAATCATACAAAAATATTACATAGCCTAGAAGACAATGAGTAAATCCTAATAACTAACATACAAGAACTAATCATAAAAAAATTGAAAACGTGAATCAAATGATAACTAGAGAAATTCAAGCACAATTCAAAAACATGCAACAAAAAATACAAACCCAGAACAGACGGCTTCACAGCTAAATACTACCAAACACTGATAGAAAAATAACAATCCAGATAAACACCTTCAAAAAAATTCAAGAATGAACACTTGAAAACTCATTGATTTGAGAGCAAACCCGAGAAAAACATAGCAAAGAAAAAAAAAAAAATTCAGGCTAATATCCCTGATCAGTACTGATGCAAAAACAAAATACTAGTAAAACAAATTCAATAGCACGTTAAAACAATTATGCATCATGACCAAGTGAAATTTATTCCTATAAGGCAAGAAAGTTTCAACATACAAAAATCAGTCAAATAATCCACATTAAGAAAATAAACACACAAAAAAACATGATCTCAACTAATCCAGAGGAAGCATTTAATTATATTCAACAACCTTTTAAGAAACTACTAGTAGTAAACTGCCTTGACATAATAAAAGCCATATTTGAAAAGAACACAGCTATTCATATTCAATGTTGAACATCTGAAAGCTTTAGCTCCAAAATGTGGAAAAAGGCAAGGATGCATATTTGCAGCACTATGACTCAACAAAGTATGAGTTCTAGTCAGAGTATTTAGACAAGAAAAAAAAACTAAAGACATCCAAACTGAAAAGAAGTAAAATTCTCTTTTCCAGACAAAATAAGCTTACATATAGAAAACTATAGATTATCCACACAAAAATGTTAAGTGGATAACTATTTTAGATAAGTTGCAATGAACAATCTAAAAAAAAAATTTTTAAATCCAATTTATAGTTGCATCATAAATGATGACATATGTAGGAATAAACATAGTCAAGAAAGTGAAGGACTTATTAACTGAAAATTATAGAACATTACTAAAAGGATTCAAAGGAGGTATAGATAAATAGAAAGACATCCATTAGTCATGGATTGACAGACTTACTTAATATTGTTGAAATATCCATTTTACCAAAAGCATTCTACAGCTTTGATGGATTCCCTATCAAAATTCCAAATGCAATGTTGGAAGAAATAGCAAAAGGCACACTGGAATCAAGCAAAAAAAAAAAAAAAAGATCCAGAAGAAACAAACCAATCTGGAAATAAAAGTCAAAGGCTTCACTTTTTAGATTAAAAAAATATATTACAAAGCAAGAGTAATCAGGTTAGTGAAACACTGGCATGACTCCATATACATGAACTAATGGAACAAAAGAGAATGCCCTGAAATAAACTCCTGCATATATATCAAATGATTTTCAACAAGAACGACCAAGACTGCACCAAAGAAAGGTCAGTCCATTCAACAAACTGTGCAAGGAAAACTGAGTATTTACATGCAAAAGAATAAAGCTGGAAACTTAGCTGCATCAAACAACTTCGATAGGTCCAAGGATACAATCCATAGGCAGAAAATGCAACCTGAGAAGTGAATGTAAGAAAAACAACCTAAAGAATCATCAACTGTCAGACATTATAGTTCATTTCCTATTTTAAAATGCATGTGTGGTGATAGAACTCTAACTATGGGCGGTGAACACACAATGCAATATATATATATGCCTTACTGTTGAATTGTACACTTGAAACTTACTGGATTTTGTTAACCAATGTCACCATAAAAAAAAAAAAAAAGAATTACAGAATAAAACACCCTCTGTCACCGATGTCTGTGAACTTTCCACTCCATTCCCAATCATGAAGATTCTGAAAATAGTGATTCACTCCTTTAGCTTCAAATGCATCATAAAAGCAGTCAGAAACTTTTCCAACTATTGGTCCCTTTTCCAGAACTGAGGTATTTGTGCCTAATAATACATGAAGTCTATGTGCATCATCTTTTATCCTAGTTGACATAAAAAGGACTGTGCATCCAGACATGAACAATCCCCTTTGCCCAACTGCACTGATGCAACTGGGCCCACATCCTGTCTCAAATCCAAGAGGTGAAGCTCTGTCCAGGACGATGGCAGTGGAACCTCTTCACAAGTCCCATGTCATTAGGTCACAGTGAGAGTGATTCTAAGTAGAAATGAGAGGGACTAAGGAAGGTCCAGGTTGAGCATTAACAAACAAACATCAGGAAGGATAATTCAGAGTCAGAGAAGATCAGCAAGTTAAAGGGCATTCTGGGAAGGACAGACACAACAATCAACTGAGAATATGACTTTACCTGAGAAAGAGACATCGCTGAACCCCTTTATTTCCTCTTCCTCCACTGTTGGGCTTCTTCCTCAGGCAACAAGTCTTCATAAGTCAATCTAGAAAGTTGAAATATGGCCTTTAACAACATATCCCCTTCCTGTGCCACCACCGGGGAAGACCTCAGCAAGTGGAAAACATAGTGTCTGCTGCCCCTGCCACAGGAAGCATTCAGGGACAGTAACTGCTTATCAGAGACCAACAAGTGAGGTTGCCCTCCTGGTCATGCCTTCATATACATTGCAGCGCTGGAAACTTTGGCTAACCCAATACTCTCCCCCAGGTCATGGACCTGGCACTGATCTAACCTGGTGCAGAACAGAGCCCCCTCACATTCACCACACATCTCATACCCAAGTAATGAGGACCCAGAGCCTTGCTTATCCATGATAAAGATAAGTGTCACCTGAAACCCTTTAAATATTATTAGAACTGGGCCCACCCATAATGTTTCACTGACACTTTCTACACCCATAATGTTTCACTGACACTTTCCACACCCATAATGTTTCACTGACACTCAGGGGGCACAAAAGATGTCAGTGCAAAATGCCTCAGCAATCTAATGGGAAGCACCATGTAGCACCGCCCAGAGGAGGCAAGACTAGCACATCTCCCACCTGCTTTTTCTTTCCCACCTTAATTGAGGCATAATTGACAAAAAACTATGTATATTTAAGGAATACAATATAATCATTTGAAATACATATATAAAATAATTATCACAAATGAATTAATACATCAATCAACTCACAATGACTATTTTTTATGTCTATGTGGTGAGAACACTAGGACTTATCTCTCAGTAAATTTCAAATATGTAATACAGAGTGATTACACATACTCATGATGCAGTACTTTAGATGGTGACGTCTTACTGTAAGTTTGTATTGTCTGACCAACATCTCATTTTCTCCACGGCAAGCCCTAGTAACCACCATCCTCTCTAGTTCTGTTTGATTTCTACACAAGGCATACAGCGGGATTCTACTTGTTTCTCTCTGTGGCTCTCTTAACATAACACAATGTTCTCCACTTTCATCCATATTGTTCATTCCTTTCATTTTTATGGCTGAATCGTATTTCATTGCATGTGTAAATATATGGATCACACTTACGTTCTCCATTCATCTGTCAATACTTTTAGGCTGATTCCACACCTTGCTCTTGTGAATAATTCAGTAATGCTCATGGGAGTGCATACATCTCTTCAAACTATGACTTCATTTCCATTGGATATATACTCTGAAGTGAAACCTCTCCTTCACTACTACGCATTTTCCTCCTCTCTGTGTATCTACTGCCATATCTTATTTCTTTTTTCTATTCTGCTCATTTTGTTCCCCTCTCTTGATGTTTCAAGAATTTGAGCTAAACTGAGAACACATGTTGGGGAGCAAGATCTCAAATGCTCCCTAGAATGACAGTTTGGCTGTTTCTTTTATGCATTTGAAATTAAGAAAGCACATAAGGTAGATTACAAGAAGATGAGCCAAAGCAAGGAAGGGATAGGTTACAGGACAGCTAAGGAGATGATGTGCTCCTCAGATGGTCATGAATGGAGAGACATGACTTCTGGCACATCAAAGGTGTGTTAACCTTGATGCATAAGAATGGAGAAGGTTGACTTGAAAATCTTTCTTTAAAGAAGTCAAAGACCTGGGATGTGACTACCCACCATGACTGCCTAGTTAGGAATTCCTGATTCATTACAGAACACCTTGTTCCTCCAGGGGGCCCCTCTATTTGCTCACCTGCATCTCCCTGGAAATCCCAATTTTCTCTGAACTTCTATGTCACCCCATCCCTTACTTTCACTCTACTACCTCCTAGAAGTCCCTCACTAATTCTTAACATTGGCATCTATTTTCCCCTCTCTGCTCCCTTCACTATCTCTATTTCCCTGACCTGGGCCCCGTTTCTTCTGACCCGCTGGGCCGCACAGAAAGAGTGGGATGAAATAAGATGCCTGCATCCTCGAAGCCCACAGTCCCAATAGGGTGGAATGTGGGACGGAATAACAATGGGTGGCTCAGAACAAGACAAGGTCACCCATCCAAATACAAAGTCAGAAGAAAGGGGATTCAAAGGGGAGGCCTGAGGAGCAGAAGGTCCAGGGCTGAAGGGGAAGCCAGTACGGGAGGGGAGGCTGTCTCAAGAGACGAGTGCCGTCTCCCGAAACACAAGACCAGGGAAAGGACTCGGCGTCTCCTGGGCCTGGATGGCCGGCGCTTCCCTAGGGATCGCGAGGGCGAGGGCGAGGGCAAGGCCAAGGCCGCGCCGATAATCCACCTCACAGAATGCTGTGAGGGCGCCTGACGGGCGGAGAGGTCAGGGAAGGGTTTAACGAAGGAAAACAGGTGAAAGGCGGGTCTACGTGGACGGAAGACGAAGCAGCAGGAAGCAGCCCCTGAGCCATTCCACACGCCAAGATAAGTGCAGGGACTCCTACGCAGACACCAGAATTTAAAGAGGGAAGGGCCAGCTGCGGGGATGATAAGGTCCACGGCGACCCCTGACCCCTGTATGAAGGCAGAGTACTGAAACGCAGAGTTAGGCGAGAAAAAAAGAAACTCACGCTGAGCACGGTGACCTCAGCTACTGGATCTCCGCTCCCTTGTCAGCTAAAAAACGTCCGGAGGAAAAGGGCGGGCGCCTTGAGGGCGGTGCCTGGTGAGAGGTCAGGCTGGCGCAGTGGCCCACGGGAAAAGCTAGGAAACGACCGTGGGGCGAGGAGGGAGAGTACGCCAGCGGGGCCTAAAGGGAGGCCTTGCCTGCGCGCTGACCATGAAGGGGGCGCGGAAAATAGGCTTAGGGGCGGGACCAGAGAGGAGCTACAGCTGGAAGGGGCGGGGCCAGAGTTAGATCACGCCTGCTTATTGACCGCGGTGAAAAAACTAAATCCCGCAGAGGTAGAGGCGTGGGAGGGGCGGCGGTCAAACAGCCGGACACTAGGTGAGTGAGAGGCTGATCGTGTGCAGTGTTCGAAACGATTTGAAAAGAAAAGGGTGAAATGGCGTGGTGCTGGCGGGGCTTCATCGTTCCGGGGCTTCGCGCCCAAGATTTATTTTACGTATATCTTTAGCCCCTGGTGGGGCTGTCTCCCCGTTTTAAGTTATATCTAGCAGTTTTAAGAAAAAATGTTAGAGTTATGTGAGCCACTTAATGTTGGAAACTACGACGTTTTCCTCCTAAGTTGG